TTAACTATAATAAAACTAAAATGACTGTAATATCTTTCTACATAGTTTAAAATAAAATTAGGGTAATGTCTATTTTTTATCCAAACCTTTTTCAGATTCTTTTATATTATCCAAACCTATTAAAAATTTATTAATTAGCCAAATCTTTCATAATGCAACAAAATATTAGTCATTTTTACGTTATTGTTAATAATTCTGTAACTCTTTTCTTAGTTAAAATACTAAAATTTTGGAATCTTGACCTTCATGTGCCTCTTCCAAGTGATCAGTATCATATTGTCAAGTCAATATTACTAACAAAAATGCTAACCGAAAGTTAACATTCGGCTAATTTTTAGTATTTCGATAGGTTTGGATATTATAAAAGAATCTGAAAAAGGTCTGGATAAAAAATAGACGTTACCCATAAAATTATCTGTTATCTTTCTTATTTTCGTAGTCTTCATGATATCATTTTTAATTGTTATTATAGCTAAAATTATCTATTAAAATCGTCATCATACTCATAATCAATCAATCATATACTAAAAATATAATCTATAATGTACAATCGGTAACTAATGGATCTAAGTGGAGGCCCCTAATATTCGGAGGCCCTGTGCCGGAGGGCGGGCCAGCACACCCTCTAGGCCGGCCCTGGGTTAGTTAACACACATATCTCTATCTCTCTCCATCATTGCTAAACAGAATATTAAAGACATTGAAACTGTTAGTTATTAGGTATAACAATGCATATGCACATAATGAACATGCACATGATCTGTGTCTAGCCCCATCACTTTGCGTATATCTTTTGCACCCACGACCACGAGTGAGATTGTGGTCCATATATAATCCCTGAGTTATAAACAAAAATGGTAAAATATTAGTGGTTGGGTTGATGTGACTTGAATCGGACTATCAGTAGCTACGACGGGATTAGTTGGGGGTCTCGTTGCCCGGTCAGCGAGTGGGGTCCAAGGGCAACGCCCCCGGCCCGTGGAGTCTGGGCTCAATGTTATTTGGGTTCGGGTTCTGGGCCTGGTCTGTAACTGTTTCCTTTGCCAGATTGGATTAGATTTAAACCCACACGGAGAAGTGCTATAAATACTTTCCAGACTCCTCTGTAATCTGTAATCTCTTCGATATAGTGAAGCTGGCTCTCTCTCGCCCGTGGACTAGCTAACACACATCGTGTTAGTGAACCACGTAAATCGTGTGTCTGTGTTTTTTCGATTCTCGCATTCGTATTCTTGCTTTGTCGATTCCGGCGATTGCCCGATCCGTAGCAGCGCGTTTGTAACGGGTTGGATTGAAAAAGTTAAAGAAGTAGTGGTATTTTATGCCGAAATGTGGCCGAAGTCATATAGCTTAGCGGTGAAATCTTTAGAGGGCGTTCGTTCCGGAAAGTGGCAGATTCCATGGTCGATCCTACGGAAGCTCGTTGTGGTGTTTCTAGTCGCATTATTTAATGGAGATCTTAGTGAAGATGTTACTGGAGTATAAAATAAAACGTTGAAATGTTGTTTAATCAATGGTTTTGTATCGCTAAAAATTGGCTACCAATTTAAGTTCCGATAGAAAGTTTTTCCACTCGCACTGTCGATACTAAGTATATATCTTAAGGGGCCAATGCATGGAACCATCTGCAGAAATCCCTCTCTCGGTTGCAAATTGGAAGCCATAATGATGGAGGAGTTAAGGACAGCAACAATTGAAATCAATAATTAATTAACTTCGATCTGCATGCCCTTTGTTCATACTTCACTGCTTCTTTCTGCTGGCTTTCTGTTTCGTTATTCATTTTGAAGGACTAAGGTAGTAAGGTAGCAGAAGCTTCATTCAATGTAGTATTGGCTGCAACCGTAACAATTATATTGATTGCCTTGTCTTGTGTATTGCCTTTTTGCCTCGACCTGTTCCTTCTATCACTACTTTAATTTGTATCCTGGTGGAGTTCATCAATGTAATTCTCGTCTGTAGGGGTTTGTTTTGGGGCAACATGGGACTACCCTCCTTGATTCCTCGAGAGGAACATTTAAGAGGATGATGGAGGGAAATTTTGGAGTCTTAGAATTGAAGTCATGGGTAAAGAGGGAACCGATTCATAAGCAATTGGAATCGGATAAAATCTACCGTTGAAAGATATTTTTGAGTCGGGTGTACTTTTGGAATTGGCAGGTTAAGTGTGAGTTTTTCCATAAATTCAACCCGCACTACAAAATATAAAATACCGTTATTTTGTAATTAACCCTAATAATAAGAGCATTCACACTTGTTAACATAAACCCCCGCAGAGAAGAAATCTAACATATAGTATATCTTCGCCAATAATGCTTCAGACTTTCTTGTAGAATACGACCGAGGAGTCTGAGGGGCCAGGAGCTCGACGAGGATCCACGGAGAAGATAGCTTGCCGAACATCCTCACCAGTCACCTCACCACACAACCGTTCCACGTCTCTCCTTGGCTTCATGCTTAGTTACAAGATGCTCTAGCTTAATGGATGTTGTTACTTATTAGTCTCTGCGATAATATAGTCTTAATTGATAATTTATTGATGTTTTCATTATTTATGACAATATTGTTGAGAAATAAAAAAAGATATATAAAGACGTGGGTGTTCGGAGGAATTGTTTGCGGTTAAATTTATGAACCGCCATGAGGACATACACCCTCAGGTATTCGTTTGATTGGATTTTATTTCCCAAAATCCAATATATATGTTATCGAGTTTTTTTTATATGTCTTCAACTTAATTATAATTGTTTTAAGTTGACATTTCGGAATATACAAAATTTGAAGAATGAGAATGGAGATGAACAAAAAAAAAAAACTCACTTATACATGGATGAAAATATGGCATAAGCTTACGAATTGAAAATGAGGATGGAGATAAAGTTTAAGAAAAATCCTTCCGAACCCGCCAATTGCCATCCCTATACCTGCGATATCCTTATACAATACCCTCCAATAGGAACCGTACCCCGAATTGTAATTTTGGCGACCATAATAAGCCTGACCAACCTTGTTTCTTAGCTTAGGTATCTTACATATGTAACAGCACATATATGTAAACATACACGGACGACAGTGGACATGCAAGTCTATGAAGGAGAATATCCAAATCCAGATCTCCTCTTCTCTTACTTTTCTGCCTTTTCATCTACTTTAATTCCTGTCAGCAAGAACCCTATATCTATCTATCTATAAATACCAGTTTCTGCTTCATGAATGATGATAAAAATGAAGCAAAAACATTTTTCTCGCAGAGCTGTGTTTGTGAGTGAGTGAGTGTGTCTGTTTGGTGTTTGTCATTTCTGTTTGTATGGTTTCATGTGATGATTTGTTAGTGGAATCCTCTCTTTCTTTTCTGGCCCAACTTTGAGTTTCTCAATCTGCTGCTGCAAGCAAGTCTCTGCCCACTTAACTTCCATTCTTGTGTCTTGTAGCAGTGCTGTTCTAATCATGGAACTGTTCGGATCCCAACTCAGAATCATAATATTAATAATATGGGTTTTTATCAATTTTTGAAAATAAATTCAAGGAATTTGGAAGAACATGTTAACGTGAGAAAAGTTATGGTCAATCACTTTCAAGGAAGAAAAAGAAAGGAACCCAAAATGACCCCCCACCACTGTAGCAAAAACCATAAAAAGGTTAAAAACCCATTTCGATCTTCCTTCCAAACCCACTTTTTTCACTGTTCCTTTCCATCACCATCCATGTCTTATTTATCTCTTTACTACAACAAAAATAAAAACAAGACGAAAACGACAGAAGGAAGAAGAAAATGGAAGTGGGGAGGGGGGTTAAAGGCAACCGGGGGGCCCACAAAGGGATGGGCCAGGCCCACTAATTGACCTTTTTAACGAGTTTTATTTTATTTTATTTATTCATGGGAAATATATTATTATTGCATTGGATTCCCCCCAAAAAAAATTGTCCTCGTGGGGGTCACAGAAAACGACAAGTCGTCGTGGCTTGGAAATGACCGCATTTCCATTTCATAGTGAGGGGGTCCATACTCCATACTCCCTCCCTTCGCCGTATCATGTAGGGCTCTGAGTTGCTTACTAGCGACTTGAGTCGAGTTCGAACTCGACTAGTAAAGCTCGTGAGCCAGTTCATTATTATGGTTTATTGAGTTTAATTCGTGAGTTGATTTGTTTTGAGTTCATGGATAGACTTACTGAGTGTGGCTAACGAGCTAGCTCGATATAAAAAGAAATCAATATGTAGCCTATGAGTTAGGTTATTCATAATTCGTAGGTTTGTTATATTATATATCTCACCGTATGTATGTGATATTTAATACCTACTTATTTAATAGCCTATGAGTTAGGTTGTTCATAATTCGTAGGTTAGCCTATAACAGATATGTCTCATTTTATAATTTAAAAGAGAAATTATGTATCATCTATGTTTGGATAATAATTACTATTGAATAACATTATATGATTCGAATACGAACAAGGACTTGACCTACGGGTAATACCACTAGCCTAGAACCTGTAGGTCTCAGGTCCGAATCTCTTAACTTAATTACAATATAAGTAAAAACCTATTTCACATTTATAAAAAAAAACATTATATGATCTGAATAATACGATGTATGAGCTCAAGCCGAACTCGCAAATTGATTGATGAACCGCAACTAAAGCTTTTGAGCTTATTAGTAAGTCAAACTCGAGTCGAGCTTGAGTCAAACCCGAGCAGATGTTTAAGTAAACAAATCAAAATCATCATTTGCTGCCTTAGTTACATGTTAACAACATTAACCTTTTCCCTCTCCCTATTTCTTGTCAAAACATTTTTTAGGAAGGACTACTATTTGTCAATCGGGCTAAGATATGGTTTTAACTTTGAAGTATGCCAGCCCACTCAGAATGTCGGCCTGCTTTAAGGGAAAGTCTGTTTCAGCCCATTACTATACTACCCAGAAAGTTTTCCAATTGGGCCGACGATGGCCCGAAGAAGAAAAATATTCAGTCCGTCCTCCTTCCATTATGCAAAGTGCAAAGCAAAAAGCCTGTTCATGTTCAACGGATAACAAAACGCAGTCTAACCAGAGTCGAACTTTGTGGAAGAAGCAGCAGCAAAAATGGCGGCCGCCTCGGGTCTGCAACCAAGGCTTCTCTCGACCTTCGTCGGCGACCGTCTTCTCCATTCCCGACTCCCCCTCCCTCATCTCTTCGGCTACAAAACAGGTGCTTATTCTCCGTGTCCCTGTTTCACTTCCCGCGTGAACTCTAGTCAACGAAAGAGCTCACGAACTCATAATTGCTGCTAGCTTGGAGCTATGTTCTCACAGAAATGGTTTCTACACTTACCGTTTGGGAATTTTCTATAGCTGGTCATGTTTGCCCTTGGAATTTTTCTTTCTTTCCATTGTCTCAGACTAAGTCAAATCATTTCTGTGTGGAGCTTCGGCTCTACAACTTCAGTCTTCATATGCTGATCAGGATTTTGTGTGCAATTTCTCGAGCAGGAGGTGGGCATCATGTGTCTATGCGATTCTCCAGGGCGTTATCTGGATTAACCAACCTTCTATTCAATAGAAGGTACGCCTTAGATGAGTTGATAATCCCTATTTGCAGTCCTTGTTTGCATTTCAATGCAGTGGTTGTCGCCATGATTTTCTGGTATGAAAAGATTTATTAGTGTCCTGTTGACGAGCTGATTGTCGGATACTGGGCGGATAAAAAGGGTATTGATTACTAGATCACAAGGAATTCAATTGGAATGGCGAGACAAAGGATATGCACGCATCATCATAGCTTCAAGCATAGAATACTTGTGGGTTTCTTTTCATTGAACGATAGTTGCTCTTCTTGGATAAGAATGAAACCACAAGTATTCTCATGAGATGAGAAAGGATCACACTTGTCTCTATTAATTTGCTTGAACCTCTTATGATGTATGTATATGCCTTGTCGTCGTACAAGGTGGTTCCTACTAAACTCGTCGAATAATCAGCACCGATGTTTATCAGTCCTGTACCCAACGATAAGCACAACATGATCCTTGTGGTTGTGTATCCCTGGATCCAGACTGTTAATAGACCTTTCGCCAACATTTTGTCTCTTTTTTTTGCGGTAAAATATGTGCATTTTGGAATGATCAGAATTGTAGAAGAAGTACCAAACACCAAGAGGAAACCTCTACGCCCGGGGAAACTCTCTCCCCGGCGACCTGTCCCTGATAATATTTTGAAGCCTCCTTATGTCGACACTCGGCAGTCTCCTGGAATCTCGAGTGGAGCTGAAGTGCATGATGAAATGGGGATAGAATGCATGAGGGCTTCTGGAAGACTTGCAGCACAAGTGCTTCAGTATGCTGGGACTCTAGTAAAGGTAACATGATCACTTTGTTGGGTTTTCTGAAACGGTTGAGGCAGATCAACAGAGGTAATGTATGTGTCTTCCGTAGTTTGAGATGCAGAACTTCATCTTAGTGTGACGAGCATTGATTCTTTTGGCAGCCAGGTGTAAAGACTGACGAAATTGATGAAGCAGTGCACCAGATGATAATTGAAAATGGTGCATATCCCTCGCCTCTAGGATATGGTGGATTTCCAAAGAGTGTATGCACATCGGTTAATGAGTGCATCTGCCATGGGATACCAGACTCCCGTGAGCTAGAGGTGCTTCTTGTTTCGATGTCTTTAACATTCCTGAACTCTTATGATGTCTCGCTTGAAATATTACCCTACTTAAGCTTATTTGGTTCTTGCACTTTTGCAGGATGGTGATATAATCAACATTGATGTTACAGTTTATTTAAATGTACGAACTTCTTTTGCACGAACATTTTCTTTTGTACTCATTTCCAGAAGGATTGGAAATCTGCGATTGAGCTCCATTCATTATATGGTGGCAGTCCCTTCCACAAGTTTTCCTCTCATGGTCCATTTTTTGGGTGTAACTTGATATTATATGCAGGGTTATCATGGTGATACATCAGCAACTTTCTTTTGTGGAGATGTTAGCGATAGTGCCAGAAAGCTTGTTCAGGTAACCATTTGTAAGTACGAACTCTGTAGATTAGCTACAATGTATCTGCAAACAAATTGGAAGTTTTGCATCTTTGTGGTCTGGGATACAAAGGATAAGTGACTTATGAATGTAGGATTTTGTCTTTTTGTATCTGTTCTGACTATGATTCTATGCTTTAGCTTCACTCAATGTGACCCTCTGCTTACTATCCTTCAGGTAACCAAAGAATGTCTGGATAAAGCAATCTCGATTTGTGCACCGGGAGTGGAGTTGAAGAAAATTGGCAAGACTATACAGTAAGAATGCTCACTTTATTACTTTCGTTGCTCTTGGCTCTCTGATTAGTTATATTTGAGCAGAAATGTGGAAAAAAGAGCATTGTTTTAGCAACTAGAGATAATATAGAACAGCCAGTTTAATGCGCCTGTTTTCATGCGGACTTCAATACTGTCTTGAATATTTGTTTTGTTGCTTAGTCCAGTGTCTTGTGAACAGTACTTGCATGTATTGAAACTTAATGATGAAATCACTGACCATTTCCTGATTCTTCAGTTCATTACTGATATGGCCCGATGCATCACTTGGAATTGAGGTTTTTGCCTTAATTGTGTACTAAATCATATTTTATATCTTCTTTCCAAGTGATCATGCAGATAAACATCGGTATGGTGTTGTTAGGACCTTTGTTGGCCACGGCGTTGGACGTGTTTTCCATGCTGATCCAGTTGTTCTTCATTGCAGTAAGGGCCCTCTGCCATTCAATTTGCTTGTTACTAGTTTACCTCCCCGTCTTATTCCAAGTCTCGATATATATTTGTATAGTTGATTGATGGCTTCCTTTATTTCACTTCATTTCCTTCATCTAGATGCTATACTAACAACCAGACTGATTTTTCCAGGGAATAACGAGGGTGGACGCATGAAGTTGAATCAAACCTTTACAATTGGTACTATTGTCTAAATCCTAAATCCGGCTTCCTTGCCAAGTTCTTATGTGCTCCTTCTCTGTCTTTTTATTGTGAAAATATGTGCTCCCTTCTCTACAGACAAACAACAATTTCAATTTTTCATGAACTCCTTAGATTGCAATTCTGCCATCGAATCTCATGTACTTCATTACTTTGTCTTGTATATGTACCCAGAGCCAATGTTGACAATGGGCAGCATTAATCCGGTGATGTGGGACGATGACTGGACAGTGGTGACCGAAGATGGGAGCCTGTCAGCTCAGTTTGAACACACCATTCTCATTATTGAAGGTGGAGCTGAGATACTGACACAATGTTAAAGGCCAAACTAGCAGAATAATGTGTTGGGCCAAACTGCTTTCCAGAGCATGCATTGTGATTCTTTGTAGGTTGGATTGATTGGAATGAATTGTACTCTATCAAGAAGAATTCACATTTGATTGATTGGAATGAATTGTGCTCTCTTTGTTGTTACACTTTCTTCAGATGTCAATAACGATTTAAGTTTATTATAATTTAATATTGAATTTAAGGTTACAAAAAGTTGAGATGGCCGAGTTGGTCTAAGGCGCCAGATTAAGGTTCTGGTCCGAAAGGGCGTGGGTTCAAATCCCACTCTCAACAATTTATCTTTTTTACTTTCCAACATTTTTTTTTGGCAATAAGTCGACGAATGATATGTACATAGTTTATCCCGTACACAACCAACGAGTTTGGGCCACATATGAGCTGAAAGACACTTGGGCTTGATGAGTATGGCGGACTTTAAGCCACTGAGTCCTTGTAAATGTCCAACTTGGCAACTTTCTAGGTTGATACAAGAACTAGCTAGGGTTCCTATCATAGTATATAAATTTCAAAAACTCCCCTTAGTTCTACACGTTGAATCTCATTGGGAGTTTCGTTGGTCACCTTGATGGTGGTAGAGAAGATCACTATTCACGAGATTGGATTGTATGATCTTCTTCGCTAGTCAGATGGTTGATTAAGGTCCGCACATCATTGATTTTGAGTCATCCCTCGGTCCACGACTGTTTGCTAAAAATAAGAATCAAGGTTTTTTTTTTGGGGTTCGTTCTTATTATGAGTAGTACCTCCTCCTTTTCTATTTCCATTGTTGTCGTTTGGTTTCTTGGGATGGGTAATGCTCTTTTGCTCCCTATCCATAGATTTATGATGTCTCGATGTCAGTCATTCCTCGTGAGATCTTACTAAATGAATTTACTCTCACACTTGAGGGGGCTCTTGCCTATTGGTGGTGTGAAGGAGGAGAGGTCATGGTCGATTTAGTTGGGTTAGCCTCACACACATGGTGGTAGAGGGAACAATCAAGGGCAACATCGTGCAACTCTAGTGGTGGATGATGATCCATGGATGCATCAAATATGTGATGATGATAACAAGTGTTCCAGCAAATGGGGGATCCATAAGAGATTGGGGTTTGCCTTCCTATCGTCCTCGTTTCAGTTCAAGGATGTCTCCGCCTCCATTGCGTAACACATAGCTAGGCTTCTGCTTCAGCTGCTTCGAAGAGAGATTGGTAACACAAGTCCGAAGTGTAAAAGGGAAGGCAAAGTTATAGCCACATAAGGTGAATACGAGGACGTAGATGCGGGTTGCCCTTTCTCTTCTTCTAGGTTTGTCCTTCTATTTGCTACTCAAAAAATTTATTTTGAAGTTCAGGGATATGTTTAGAAAAAATTTGAAGTTGAGGGTTGTTTAAAGAAAAAAGTGAAATGGATGGGCAGTTTCATCATTTCACGTACATTTTAATAGGGGGCATAACAACTAACTGACTGAAGAGCTTGATTAGGAGAAGTTTGAAGTTAAAGAGACTTGTTTAGGAAAAAATATGTTAAGGGGCTTAGTGGAGGAAAAATCATAATTGAGTGGCTATAGCTTGTGTATCAACTAAAATTGTATCAAAGTCCTCTTGTCTATGAACTATAATCTCCCACCATTAAAGGCTTGTAGTAGGCCTAGCATACTTAAAATCATGATTATAAATCTAGTGAATGCTATAGTAATTTATGGGGAGAAATTAACTTGCACGTACAAAAATTGAAGCTTATTCGAGCTTATAACCTAGTCAAATGCAGTATGCTAAGACTTTAACTCATCCTGCTCTAAAATCCAGGGTCGATTTCACTTCAAAATTTATCATATCAATTAGGTTGGTTTTTCTATCTTCTTTCGAATATGAATGACACAATTGTACACTACATTTTTTTGGTTCATGTGGATGGAACTTGATAAAACAAAATACAATGTGGAGGATTTTCTACATTTTCGGCACTCAATTGCAACTTCTTCTAGAATTCAGGGGTAGTTGGAGTAATTATTCATTCAGATTTCAGCCTTAATAATTTTCTTCAATCCGCTTTCCCTATTCCGGACCTTACGTCGCCGCCTTTCCTGCTTTCTGAACCTTGCGATGCCACAAACCGGAAAGGAAAACCGTAGAGATAGAGAAGCGTAGGAGAGCGCTCGCACGGTGAAAGAAAAATTAACAGAGAAACCAGAGTACAATTCTTTCCTTCTCCTTCCGCCGAGAGCTTTTTTCTCTCGAGAAAATGGACGACGCTGCGCCGGTGAATTGGGAAGCTCTGGACGCCCTCGTCATCGATTTCGCCACATCCGAGAATTTGATTGAGCAGCAGCCGCAGGAGTCTCTGGCGGATTCCCCTGCTTCGCCGTTATCTCCTCTATCTCCGTCGTCTTCGTCTGTCTCGTCTTCTTCCTCATCGTCTTACCATTCCAGGCTGATCATTCGCCAGATCAGGCGGTGCCTAGCGGCGGGGGACATTGACGCCGGAATCGAGCTTCTCCGAGCTCACGCTCCTTCCGTTCTCGACGATCACAGGGTTCTATTTCGCTTGCAGAAGCAGGTACGAAATAAAAAATGTAGCTGCAGTTACAGAACTGAGAGATTGGAATTGACATTGATGTGTGCCTCTCGTCTTGTTACCCTGATTTTGGTTCGCTTTCTCTTTTTTGCCGTTTGGATTTGGATGCTAAGGTAAGTGACGAGTTCTCTCGGTTTCCTTTTTTGGGTTTTCAGAAATTCATCGAGTTGTTGAGGAAAGGGACGGAAGAGGGGAGAGATGCTGCGATTGCTTGCATAAGGACGGCTCTTGCTCCCTGTGCGCTTGATGCTTATCCGGTGCTTACTTTGCCCCTTTCTTTTCTTATCCATGCTTTAAATAATTTCGTGAACTGAGAAATGGGTATTAAATAGAACACTTGTGTTTATGTTTTCTTTTTATTTAAGGGTGATCCATTGTGCTTGGTGTTAGTTTCATACGATTGAAAGAGGAAAGCAATTACCTTTCCACTGGGATTGAGCTTTTGCTTTTAGGATTTTGGTCTGGGAACCTGGTGGCACTGAATGGAACGAGTATTGGAGTTATGCAGGCTAACTTTAGTTGCCAAAGATGGCATTTTGTTTATGTATGTTTCCAGTTGAAGAAATGGTGGGTTGTAGAGGAAGATGTCGGTAGTTTTGCCATTTGATACGTGAAGCTTTTCTTTTTGGCTGCTTATGTCACTTCATGTGTTGGTTTCTTGCTAAGAATTGTATTGTAACCTGTAGTGGATGCTCCCTTCCTTTCACCTTCGTCAGGTATTGGGTTTGGTTTTGCTATGTCTGATAGCTCAGGAGTTTAAACCTTCTGGGAGTGACCATCTCTCATTAGGCCAGTGATCCTCTTATTTTTAGCTAATTGTAGATAGAAGTGCATTGTGATAGTAGCGAGGCCGGATACTTCTGCTCATGTTTTGATCACTGTGCTATACTACTGCATATCAACTTGCACCAAATCCTCAATTTATTATAGTGCTGATTTGACAATTTTAATTTGAAGTATACCTAATTGTTGTTGCATTGTTGTTAAGTTGCTTTTCGTATTGTTCTGCTGGACAGTTGCTTTTGCTTATCAATCTCTGCTGTTCACCGCGTGGGGTCTGATGATTTAATATTTGTTTGTTTAAGGAAGCATACGAGGAATTCAAGCATGTTCTCCTTGCCTTTATTTATGACATACATGATCAGAGTTCGCCTGTGGCAAATGAGGTGGGCACTTTGCTATACCTTTCGACGAGTGACATTCTTTCTTGCATTAAGTTTTGTTTGGTGTTTGCTTCAACTATTATTTTTTCTATATCTGAAATCATGTCCAGCCCCCTATTACGGGTCATGCAATGAATTTGTATACTAATGTTCATTTTGTTACATTTTGTTAATGGCTTTTAAAGTACTAACTTTTCTTGCCTTCCATTAGAATCGATTTTTTTTTTTTGCTTCATGATCATGGGAAGGTTAGGATATTGTATCGACTTCTACTTTGTATGAGTGATATTTACCTTCTGTGTCTTCTATAAATCCAGCAATTATGCTGTTTCTTCATCGTAGATATATTTATAGAATGTGTTAATTTATCCTGTTATCTTTTTGACTGAAGAGGTTTTTTCTGTTTTGGTTGAAATCTAAGATGAGCATCATGATTCAGATATGAATGCCAGTTCTTTATACCTGTTAAGTTTATATGTGATTCTCCGTGATTGTATTGAGTTTATCTCGCTGGGGAAGGTGAGGTAAAGAAAGGAAAAAAAGAATCCCTTGTAGCTACCATTAAAAGGAAACGTTGCTAGTGTTTAATGTTTACCTTTTTAACTATGAGCAACCTTGGTTCACGAACCTTCAATTTTGCTCAAGCAAACAAAAGAAACAGAGTCACGTAGATATCGTTGAGCATAGTATTCCGAACATTGGCAAATCTGTATGAGCTTTCTGCAGAGCTTGCATCTATGCTTATATGATAACCAAGCTGTTTTTCCTTCAGTGGTCTGAAAAGAAGAGGTCCGAAATTGCTGGGTTGATGACTTCTGTCTTGAGAGCTCATTTGCAGGCATATGATCCAGTCTTTGCAATGACATTGCGATATTTGACAAGGTTGGTATTTACAAGAGTCGTTGAAACTCCTTTAGTGTTTGCTTGCTGAGAGTGTCGGGAGGCATCATGAAAACTCCTGCTCATAACACTTTCTTGTGCAGCATACACAAAACCTTTTGCTTTCGTCAAGGAACCACATCTCCGATTTCAGACCTTACTGAGAGGTTGCTCATGGAGGAACGTGACCCTCCAGCTGTGCCACAGGAGAGTTTTTATGAGGCACCTCCATTTGATGAGGTGAGAACTGTAAGACTTTGTTGTTTTTCCTTGGAATTGGTTTGGAGATGGCATATGGAAGAGTGATATAGTGTCCTAGACACCAACTAGTAAAATCAGAATTATCTCCAGAAACATCAGGAACTCAGGGTGTGATGGTGGCATGTAATCCCTTAAGAAGTCAGGGTTTTGATCCGTGTCCATGGGCATGGATCTTGCCCTATGGCCAGCCATTTAACGCTTTATGCCACTTCCAGTGGCAAAGCAATTTATTCACTACAGGAAGCCTTCGGCAGTGGACACCCTGGTTAAGACGAAAAAGAAATTTATACGGACTATTGAGTAGTCACTAGGTAAAAATCAATAGTCACTCACTAGGTAGTAATCAATAGTCACTTCGAGGATTATTGTTTTTGTAGAGAATGTTCTATTCTTAAGCAAACTGCTTTACCTAGGTGGACATTCAAGCTCTTGCACATGCTGTTGAGCTTACAAGGCAGGGAGCTGTTGATAGCTTGAGATATGCTAAAGGAGACTTGTTTCAGGCGTTCCAGGTACACTGATTTTGTTGCACACAGTAAAGTTGCATATGTATTGCCTTAAATGGTTCATTTGGGGTACTGAGGATTCAGATTGTCCTGTAACTCTAGCAATTGTAAATATGAGTATCGAAATGTCTACTATGTTCATAATTTGATCGTGCTTGACACTGTGGAGTCAGCAGACCCTGTAAGCGAGGGGAGAGATGGACTTTTGGCTGCTTGTTGCCTGTTTGTATGTATTCAAATTTTAAGAAAGCTTTAGCTTATGAATAAGGAAGTCTGATATTATTTTGTACACACCCTTTTTATCCCTATTCTGACCCTTCTAGCCTCTTTTTTTTTTTTTTTTTTTTTTTGCTCCCAAGGATACGTCCCTCTGAAACTTAGCTTCTTATAGTTATATAAAAAAAAACTTAGCTTCTGTCCCACTCAGAGCAATGAGGAACTTGAAATTTTCTTAGTTTCGGGATATTTAGTTCCAATGTGATTAAGATCTTGATATAAGTGTTTAGATCGTGTAGTAATGAGGTTCTTTAGGTTGGCTGGCACAAGCTTGTTTATTTAAGCGGTTAAATTGCATACATTTGCTGGTACTATGATTGCTTTTAACATGATTACTCAACTGTGTTCGTTAAAATTGCTGTCATTGTACATTTCTTTTTTGCAGAATGAATTATGCCGAACGAAGTTGGACGTGCCCGTGCTAGATGAACTTGTTCGAGAGTATTGTGTCTATAGAGGCATTGTTCGCTCGGGCTTTGTGGCATCTGCTGGTGACTCCCTAACTTATGCTTGCACTATGCTGTGTTATATCTCATTTTAAAGGTCGCTTTTTTTTTTTATCTTGATCTAGTACTCGTGTCTCACATTACATCCAACTCCTTTCATCTTAGAATGCAAAGTAAATCAATCCGAACCTGGTCGCTTGCCATCTCAAAACTATTCTCTTGAAGTGGACCAGACTACCAGCATACCTTCAGATGGTGAAAATTCTGTAATCACAATGCACCTGGATGTTTCTTCAGAGAATGATGTTGTCAATAGCAGGCCAGAAACTGATATTGAGATGAGATATGCTTCTGAATCAACTGGAAATTGTGAAGATTGCAGCACAAGTGAAATACAGCAACTTGACATATCAAAACTTCTTCAAAGAAATAGAAACTATACAAGCGGAGAGAGGAGCAAACGCAAGCGCTGGAGGGGTCGACAGGATGAGCAGGAATATCTCTCTGGTGTAGCTTACAGTGCATGCAGCAAGCAAGACCTTGATGCAGTCATAGCCAGGGCAGACATCGGTGGTGAACACCAGGTATGCTGGTAGGTGTTCTTGTAGTTGGTTCTCGACAATGCAGCTATAATGAGTGATTGTTATGCAGGGAATAGAAAAGCAGTCCACAGAAGACCTAAATAACATGGATGATAGGTATGAGATTGTGTTGGGAATCAAGGATCTAGCAGCTAGAGGCATGGCTACAGAGGTTGTGGAACAAGTTAATGCTTTGGATCCAAACTTCTTCTCCCAGAATCATGCCTTGCTCTTCCAATTAAAACAGGTTAGAAACTGTTCTTTTTTGTACGCCTCGGAACTCAAATTACGAGCCAGTTTAGTTGCCGGGTTATTGGTTACAAGGTATGGTTTATGCATTTTCACTGTTGCAATTTCATTTCAGGTTGAATTCCTCAAGCTGGTCAGTGCTGGTGATCAGTCAGGTGCTTTGAAGGTGGCCTGCTCGCACATGGGTCCCTTAGCAGCAAATGATCCTTCTCTTCTGAAGCCTTTGAAGGAGACTCTGGTTGTGTTACTCCGTCCACATGAAGAGATGCTTGGAAAAGGCTTACCTTTAAATGCTCTAGCAAATTCACTCCAGGTATACATTTATTCTTTGAGTAACTGGTTCAATGTTCTTCTACAATAAGTGAATCATTGAAGTTTCATCATCAATTTTGGTGGTTCTGGTTAGGTCGCAATTGGTAAAAGGCTTGGCATTGAAGAACCACAACTCATGAGGTTAATGAGAGCAGCCATACACACACACAATGAGTGGTTTAAGCTGCAAATGTGTAAAGATCGCTTTGAGGGTCTTATGAGGATAGACTCTCTGAAAGAACTCGAGACACCTTTGCTCTCTGCTTGCTCCATGTTGAGCTCGAGTGCAGATAGCTCTACTCAGGGTTCCTCCCAAGTTACGACATCTTCAAGTGCGAGGTTGCCTGAAGATGGTACAAGTCCTGCTCAAGTCTCGTCGGGAGAAGTCTGTGATGAAAGCGCAATACTCAAAGTGATGGTAGGTTTGGAAACTCATTACAGACTTCACTTGCAAATTGGGAATACTTTGTAGCTGATTTCATTTTCCGAAACTAATAACAATAATAATACTAATGCAGGAGTTTCTCGCCTTGCCAAGGGCTGACGCCATCCATCTTCTTGCACAGTACAATGGAAATGCGGAGACCGTCATCCAGCAAATATTTGCTTAGCTTAGAGTAGTAGGTTCAAGCTTTCATGTTTTATTCTTTCATTTATTTGCAGAGGGCATTGCTTGCTGCCCATCCCTTGTTTGTGACACTTATCATAGTATTATATAGATGTACTCCTTTATCACTCACCATTTGATGTCATCTGCTGGATACCGCCATGGCCTGCTTTTTTATTGGTCCCATGTTCTTTTCATTTTGATTCTTCTTTCTCGGGGGCAAGTCTTTAGTAAAACAGTATATGTCCATGCCATACCCTATGAAAAACTAATCTATTATTCTTGTCTCAAATCAGTTATTGAGTACAAAGAATGACAGCTTTAGCGCAGGGGAAACTGAAGGCTTGAGTATATGTCTGCTGAAAAGCATGCTCAGGCTGCATTCCTTGGCAGCGACCGCAGCCGGTACTTCCTCTCTTCTGAAAGTAGCTTTGCAACCCTGCATTTCATATTGATTTGCTTTCCAACATCAGTTCATATTCATGGGAGTTTTAACAGTACTAGAATGCTTGTGAAAGAAGGAAAACATGGGAGTTTGCTCTGAACCTTTGAAGTGCTTCTTCATTGGTGCCACCGTTCTCTACAGGTTCGTAGCGTCCAGTGTCTAGATTCTTCCGAGTTACAGGGCCCTTCAACAGATTCTCTCCCACTTTCACTAGATTATTCAGATTCTCCTCTGTAGCCAAGTCTGCGGACACAGTATCTCCTTGCAGCTTGTCATCCTGCAAAAGTATTTGTAACAGAATTTGGTTTGAAGATGCCATATATGCTCGTAGGGTATGGAATGATCCTTTGCAATTTTGACAGGCCACTGTCCTGATTAGATACTATTCTGGGCTGAACCGGGACCTTGCTCCTCTCTACTATGGATGAACTAACTACACAGAGGTTAAAAAGAGGTAAGAAGTAATTCGGTGATTCTCACATCTATTCTCAGATAGTTGTCCTCTGATTCCAGAGCTTTGAAAACAACACAGTTGTGGTAATCAACCATATCTGAGATTGCATCAGAGTAGCAACTGATCAATGGAGAAGAGCCCTTGTGGTACAACCAGCTTATGACGCCCCATTTCGAAGCGGTTTTGGCATTGTATTTCTCTTCTGTCTTGTTGGAGCCTGTCCCTAGTGAGATCACCAGAAACCGGCCGTACTCCATTGGCTTCATCGAGCATCCGCCTGGGTTCTTCATGATCTGCTTGGTCACTTCTTTTATGGCAACCAAAGTCTGCAGCCAAAGCAAGAAACAGCAGAGAAGTGTGATTTAGAGTTGGGATGTGAAAATAGTATGGTTTGAGTTGGCGGTCAGGAAGCGTTACAGGGTTGTTGGCAGCTATGCCGCCATCGATTAGATTGAATTCTCTGACGTTGCCTTGTGAGTCTTGGTTCTTGAAGTAATGAACTGGGAAGAAAGTTGGGGGCGCAGCTGTGGATATGCATATGTCCGAGAGCAGAGCATCTGAAGTTGGCACTGCTTCCACCTGCAGTGATGAACAACAATCAAGACTAGATATAAAACGAGCCCTCAAATAACATAGGCTAAACTCTAGTAAACGAAATGGTATTGTAGTTGGCTTGGTCAAATGGTTAGGTATCCAATTTTCTACGACCTTTTAACCAATTGTTGATTAAGCATAAAATATAAACAGGTGCAAACTTCAAGTATGTGCGTTAATTTCCTTTTTGAAGGAACGTGTAGCTGAAATATAAGACTTATAATTAATTTTTTTAGTAATTTGAGTTATTGGGATAAAAATATGTTATATAACAATAACATCCATAAATTTATATAAAAGAATATCCATAATTTATATATATTGTTAGGGTTAGTTACAAAACAACGTCATTTTTCTTTTCAGATGCGGGACGAATAAAAATTGTGCTGAGTTTCGTCAAATAAATTCTGAAAACGAATAAAACTCGCACTCAATCTAAAATTCATTAACACTATATTTTAAAAAATTTAACAAAATCGAACTAGTTAAATTTTCGTAGTTTCGAATTCCATTGTCATCCTTAATTAAGAGACCTGGACATTCTTCCCTTTTTCCATAATATAGAACATTGACATTCCTATTCTTACATAAGAGAAGAGAAGAAAACATCGAAAGACAAAAGGAGAAAAAGGACAAACAAAACTAAACTAAACTAACCTGATAGGAAGAAAAGATAACTGGCTGGAGCTTCTTGATGTCGAAAGTTGGGATGACCAAATTGGTCAAGCTGTCATGCAGCTTACTGCTCCCCAACATCTTTCTTATCGCCTTCCTCAAGTACTTGCCATCATACTGCGGCCCAGTAAGAACTTTCCACAGCTTCACAACCCAAGCAAATACACTCCTATACCACCATTAACACAAAAAAACCAGACAAATTAACAGATAATCAAGCTTTCAATGCATCCATCATACAAGATCGATCATGAATTGACTTGCCTGTTCTGTGGGAAGATCTTGGGGCTGTTCTCCAGGTAGAATTGCACAATTTCCTTTGCTGCAAAAAGTGGTCGCTTGTTCTCATTTGGTGCAGCCAGCATTGTAGCCACCAGGCCTCCAGTGCTCGTTCCTGAGATCACATCGAAGTAGTCTGCAATCCTGGCTCCCTCCCCATCAAGCTCCTGTTCATGAAACATACACAGAACTAAACGAATATCAGCGGTGATGATCATATGTCAAGAACCAGTTAATCCGCAATCCTAGCTTTGTCCCAATCACGTTTCAGTTCACGAAACATTCAGAGAACCGAGTGAAATCAATGATCATGTCGGGAATCAGTTGGCTCAAATAACTCGAGTTGTTGAGAGATGTTCAATAATAAATTTTATACGACATACTACCAAGCCCCTTAAACGAAAATCGCTCATAATGGTTTGAAATGTGCAAAGGTCCGAATACTATGTTTTTTTTTTATGACCAGGAACACCCTCCACGGTCACCACCTTTGGCAAATGCAGGGTGCCTTTGGAAAACACCATGGCAGCAGTGAGGATCGAACCTGGGACCTCTCGGTCACCAGTCCCGCCTCCGGGAATACCATGTTTTTAGCAATGGAAGTAGTGATGATTCGAACACAAGACTTGTCGATCACAAAAAAAACTCTGATATACCATGTAAAGAACCAACTGACCCCAATAACCCGAAATTTTGGGATAGTTTCAGTCCTGAATCTTATACATCATCAATCAGAATCTCTGCAGCTTCAAACTGAAAAATATTGAAAACCCATGAAATGAAATGACCTGAAGTTTGGACTCGAGGTAAGCAAGCATTACACCTGGGATGATCCCTTTGATCCCTCCTCCATCTATGCTCAGGATGGTTGCCAGTTTCCCATAGCTGGAGGCTGCTGCAGATTCTGCTCCAGAGGAAGATGCTCTTCCTTTCTCCATAGTGCAGAGATTGCCAGCCAATCCAGATGAAACCTTTCTTCAATTTTTGAATGTGTGCGGGTTTGCTTTGGATGGATTGAGTTGTTTTAGCTTATTAGTAGGACAAGTTTCCACGTCTAATTAAAAACAAGGAAAATGGATAATGTGTCAACCATGGCATCAAATGCTTCGTGCTTACTTGTAAAGCTGTATCATCTGGTTCTTGAATTTTTAAGTAATTATATCGTCATAGGAGCTAAAGCTGGATCGACACTTCAATAGGTTACTTGTGGTGATGAAACATTTTAATTTGTTTTGGAAGAAAGAAAAGGAAGATATGGACTTGGCTCTTGGTTGTTACATAAGGATATGATTTTTTGTTGTCGTGTTAGTTTCCCAACAATTGGGTTAGTTTTCCATTAAAACCTAGAACGCCATTGATATTCTGTGTAGGTTATTGGTGGAGCCAAATATTTCTCCATGCACAGATGTTTAAAAAGGCTTTCATGAAAAGCTGTTGAAAGATGTTCTTTATAGTTCATTAATTATTTTTAAGAAATTTGGCTCCAATTTAGTTTCTTTTGTAACAAGTAACCTATTGAATCTAGAAGGATCTGGGCTTGGGATGGTTGTTTGAGATTGAGATGATTCGGGGTTTTTTTCAAATGGATTTGATCTCACCGAATTAGAATGAGTTGGTCGGTGGAATTAGCAGAGACAGAAACTCTTTTCTTAGCTCGAAACCTAGCTAATTTACACTGTTTCAGTTCGATGATATCGGTAGAGACAAACTGTTAATCGATGATACATAAATTAAATCGAGAAGGAAGAATCGTCATTGAAAGTGGGCAAACTTAGCGAGGGGATAAGGAAAAAGGCTCAGTAGATGGGAAACATTTGCTGGAATTTGCGCGGAGGAATTGAGAACAATCAGCATACTGTAATGATTTGATATGCAATAACGAGACTTCAAGCAAGTTATTATATTGCCAAAGGTCACATAACCCAAGTGTCCAATTGGTGTGAATGCGGAGAAAAGTGACGATTTGGGAGGGGCAGCTCCCAGATTCGATCTTCCAAGCTATCAGATGGGTGTTCTCGAAGGCATAATGAAATTCTAGTGGTGGGCCTTCGCAAAGCGATGCAAGATCAAACGGGTTATAAAAAAAAAAAGCTTATATGTAAAAAAAACATGCTGAAAATTTAAATTTAATATAAAAAAACCAACAAGATCCATATACTTTTCCATCTTTACCATATAGTCCTTATTATCGCTTTTATTTGATCCGGCTGATACCGGGTCCGACCTAGCTCGTCGATTCGGCCCAATGGCCCATACCGTGAATAGCTAACTGCAATGGATTGGGCCCAGTCGTGTTAGCCCACTTCCACCTTCGACTAGTTTCTTTCTCCCTAGAAGACAGCTGTTGTTCTTCGAAGCTCTTCTTCTCCAGTCCATTGCCCACGACTTGAGATTGGCCTCCAAAACCTTTAGCCCAGTGCCCGCCATCATTAGCTTCAAGCTCGCCTGCCTTGGCTTCACTGTGCTCGAAGGTTTTCGCCGGCGGCAACGTCGGCAATAGCCCCATTGCCAGTTCTTATCGTTGGAGGAGCTCGATCGTTGAGCCCCATAGTCAGTTACCGCCGCCCCTTGCGTCTCCGCCATTGCTCGCCGCCGTCGTTTCAGGTCGCCGATCTTCTCCTTTCCCTCTGCTTCTTCCCTCAATTGAAGACACTCTCCCTGCAGTCTCGCTCTACTTCGCCAGCCACCCTCGCTCTCCAAATTCGCCCTAGGGTTTGTATTCCGTTTTATTTGCTTTCCTCCTTATTTCTTAGTCTCTGTGAATTTTCTTCAGTTCGTCTGAAGCCTTAATCCTGCCCTGAAGCTTCCGGAAGTTGCATTGCAGTTCGCAAATTAAGCAGAGGGAAAAACCGAACAGAAAGAGATGTTCTTTCTGAGTCTGATAGAGCACAAACTGCGGTTGCCGCCTGAGGATCTATCACTTCCTCTCCCCAAAGGCATTAAGAAAGTGCTTGATGGCATCTTCTTAGACAAGGTATGTCTGCTCCATTTGTCTCTCTATGTCCCATTAGCAAGCAGCTCTTAGAACTCTGAATGCACCAATAAATGGTTCTTCCTTTGTGATGTGGCTTGCAAGGTTATCGCGAACTTGGGACTCTGTGTGTCCATCTATGACATTAGAAATATATCTGGTGGCTTCATTCAGGCCGGAGAGGGTGCTCCAACCTACACTGTGAGTTAAAAGCATGCATCTTTTGTCAGTTGGGTTGCTTTTGCTGAAGTGGATCAATGGAGCTTGAGTAATGAATTGCTGTGATGTTTTATTTCTGTTAACGCTGGGGGTGAACGAACCATTGCATTTGTGTGGATGATGCTTCGCTGTGATTCTTGCAGGTAGAATTTAGAATGGTGGTGTTCCGGCCTTTTACAGGAGAGATTATTGTTGCCAAAATTATAGAATCCGATAACGATGGTCTTCGCTGTAAGTTCTGATTGCTGTGTGCTTTAACGACTCCTCCATTGCGTTTACTATGGCTTTGCTGCGATTCATCTGATACGCCTAACCCATTTGTCAAGAAGATTTGTCTGAAGAAAAGAACATGATTTGATGAATTTTATGGGGAAATCTGTCAATTCCATTGGAATTTCACTGGCGTAACTGCTAGTTTAGGTAGACAGGATCGCTTACATGCTATACTTCATGGAATGGCCCTTCTGGATGCTTTATAATCTTTCTAGTAACTGATGAGTTGGCTAATGTCATAAGCCAGGAGGAGGTGGATGATATCAGAAGCCTCTATACGTTTGGATTCATTTTTTAATTTGTTGTCTATGGATCGAGATATAGTAGTTGAAGTGCTGTGCTCTGAAATTGCTAGTAGAGGAGTTGAGAGCATTTGTGCCTAGAGATAAATAATGATTGCTTCTTAGAAAAGAGCAAAGGAAGACTGATCCTTAGAACAATCTTCTTCATAGCAAAGTGATTTGGGTAGTGGAAGTGGGTGATCACATAGTCATTATATGAAGGATAAGCTAGAATAGATTGATGATCTATCCCATTTTATAGCTGATTATTGCAGTTTGCAACCTGCATCACTTCTCTTTTCAGCCCTTTCTTGTATTTTATGTCTTGCTTCTTCACTTGGTAATCTGTTCCTATTACATCATAATAACAACTACTCTCTTCCTGTTTAACTGACATAGAAAGCATGGTTTACAGTATCACTTGGATTCTTTGACGATATCTATGTGCCAGCTCATCAGCTTCCGCAACCATGCCATCAAATTCCGGATCCTGACCGCAGGTACGGTCACTCTTACTTGCTACCTGAATGTACCCACGGAATTCACCCTTTGTTAATCGCAGATGAACTGAAACATGATTAGGAATGGAACGTGGCCATTCCTTAATGAATTGATTGTTCATGTAATGCCATATTTATAGTGATGCAATCCTTGTTTCTCTCACTGTCCCTGTTACTTCACACAATTTATTCATGGAAGTTGACTAGATCCTCTGTGAGAACTGCAGATATAAAGTCAGATGGATATGGGAATATGACATCGAAGATACAGGAAACCCAGAACAGTATAACATCGACGGCTTGGATGAGGTTTACATTGTCGTTCTCTTACTGCTCCTCCTCACCAGCCCTATTAGGTGGTTCCGAGTTCTGATTATTTTGGTTTTGCGAAATGTTAGGTTAAACTTCAGGTCCTGAATGTGAGCTTCCCACCACTTCCAATTGAGCAGCAAGAGAAGCCTTTTGCTCCCATGCTTGTTACTGTAAGCCAGCCTTCAACGTCCTGTGAACCAGATCTTTCTATATTATACTGATCTTTTTACAAGGCATGTCTTGATGTGGGCAACTTATGTCTTGATGCCAGGGATCAATATCTGAATGTGGTTTGGGGCCAGTTTCATGGTGGTGATTAGAAGGGTTCAGAAGTTGAAGAAACAAAGGATTGCTTTGCTTTGAGGGAGGTCAACAGAAAGTGTTAGAGAGTATCATGTTCTTGGGACTTATGATCCAGGGTCGTTTCTGTCTAGGTTGCCTTTGCAGGAAGATTGGATGGCCTAGCCTAATGTCATCAGAATGTGCTAAGTAGAAGCTGTGCATAAAAACCGAGAGAATGCTAGTGCTGGCCTGCTGGGCAGAGTTAGATTAGGGTCTGAGCTGAACTTAAATTTTGCATGAATCATTGGTCCATCGCGAAATGGTGTAACTTTCCTAGTAGGCTGCTGAGGTGGCAAAGTAATTTTTAGGTGAATGCAATTTTTCCCCCATAGATCGGAAATGAAATAGATATTACAGGACGCTAGAAAACCAGACGCGACAGTCGACACAATATCGAGCTGTCGATGAAAGGGCATTAGAAGCCACTAAGTGGGCAGCCTTGTTGAGTTGTTGTACAACCTTTGCGTAAAAGTACAAATAAAGAAATTAAAAGACACAGACGCCAAACAAATCTCTTCCAAGATCGCTCCACCTGTCGCATGCGCCACATCATGAGATTGAATCATAATGGATGGATGCTTGTATGGTCAAGGGAAAACTACGTGCCCCTGCAAAAACAAACAAACACACAAGCGCCCATACTGGAGGAGGCACTGCAAAAACAAACAAACACACAAGCGCCCATACTGGAGGACAACTAAGCTCCACTGAATGGACTTAAACAAGCCATTTAGGTAAATGCAATTTAGTAGCCAAACATTTCATTTGCGGCAAAATAATAATCAAACCTATCGAAATAACAATTTAATAACATTTTTTGGACATTACGAAGTTATAGTCACAATCCATTGCAATTAGGGGTGTCAATCCGTCATTGTGTTCATCATTCCATGTCAGCATCTATGTGACTATGTCAAAAGAAAGTTGAATTTATTTTTTTATATTATCAAGTTTTGGGTTTATCAAATTAATTTTTCTTATTTGAATACTGGGGATTCCTTAAGAACAAATGGTATCTGACTCTAATACCCTTTTATATATTTCCTGCTCGAACATCTCATATTTAGCTTAGTACTTGCCGTCGGTTGACTGATGAAAGTGAGTTGCTAACCAACTCCTCTGAATGGTCTAACTTGAAAATATAAGCATTACTAGTAACATCAATTGATAAAAAATAATTAGAAACTTTGAATTGGTTGGCTTAATTAATTAGCACGTAGCTAATCGGAAAGAAGGAAAGGGGAACAAATTTAAAAAATAAAAAGCATATGAGCGGTGGGTGTGACCAAACTCTTCATTACAATGTGGGCTCACGTTTACGTTGAACCTTCATAATGATGTGGTTCAACAAAGTAATTAAAACTTTGCCTTCTGTTTTTTTTTCCCTACCTTCTTTTAAGGGTTAGTTGCCGACTAATATGTTGTTTTCACGGGTATTTGTGATATCCTATCGTATGAGTAGTTCGATTGGAAAAATGTCCTACTTAAAATTAATTTGGAAGTGATCTTTTTACGTTTGAAAAGGCTTGAACTACAGTTTTTCAATAATAATCATGTAAATGTCAGACTAAAGTTACTATTGATCTTGGTCTTGTTTTTCGTGGGTCAGACGGGTATGTGGTGTTGGCAGCCGACATTCGTCACCAAGGAGTGGTCAACCCCTACCTAGCATAGCTTCTAGCAGCAAGAGACGCTATCACCATCGTCGCATCAAGATCCTTGAATCATGTGATTGTGGAAGGTGATTCCGAGGTGGTCGCAAGGCGTCCTAGAAGATTCCATTTGGTGGTCCAGTGCTCCGAGAGTGTCGTCAGATCCTAGACTCTTTGTCAATTTATATAAAGTTTATGGCGATTCCTAGAACTACCAACAGTGGTTGCTCATAGCTGTGGCGTGTGAATCACTAATATTATCCCGTCTAGAACTAGAGTCCTTTGACTTTATTAAGTGGGTTTACTAGGGTGTTGCTTATAGGGAATTCTTGGATAGTCTTGTAATATTAACTCTTGTTATCTAGAAAAAAAAAAAGTTACCATGGTTCCTTTATAATACATTTTCCTTTTTCCTCGCGCTCTTGTTAACATCCTTGACCTAAAACATAAATACACCAAAGCGCATAAAGTTCCACTTTGGCCCTTTGGACAATTGACTTGAGATTGGAAAATGACCAATAAATTGTGCCTTTGTTTTCTTATACGGCAATGAAGCTTCTTGCAACTTCATCGCATCACGACTGATGGTGTGTTCACTATTAAGTCTGTCTATCATTTAGCTGTCGAGCTGGATAAGAGGTATAGTTGTTGAAGGTCTATGGCTAGCTGGATAGATAGGGCCGGCTGGATTCGGCTATGGGAGGCTAATGTTCCACCTAAATTGAAGGTGTTCGTCTGGCAGATTTTTCATCGTATCCTCCCTACTACCGAGGCCCTAATAGAAAAGAAAGTCCATGTGCTCCCTCGCTGCCCGGTGTGTTGGGGGGATTCGGAAACAATGGAACATTTGTTTCTTGACTATCCAGTGGCGCGTGCACTTTGGGACTACTCGGGGCTGGAACATATTGGGCAAGGTTTGCCTCATCAAACTTTCCTCCTCTTCCTCAAGAGATTCCTCTCCATAAACCAGCAACCTTCTGTTTTCTTATCGGTGGTTGTTGTCCTTTGGCGGATTTGGAAGTCTAGAAACTGGGTTGTCTTTGAAGGCAAGCAGTTTGGATTCCCTGACTTGATGCGCCAATTTCACCAGCAATGTGAGGAATGAGAACGTTTGTCGGCCGATTGTGTAACCCCGAGTCTCGCTCCTATTCTACACCCAATAGGTCTGGGCGAGGCTCCTACGGTTGTTTGTATGTGGGATGGGGCTACGCGAGCCGGGTCTCATTCGGTTGGCGGGATGGTTCTTCTTGGCCCTCAGAGGGAGATCCTTATGGCTCAAGGGACTCGGTTTCTGTCTATTGATGATCCGATGGTGGTTGAGTTACTTGCCCTCCGGGAAGCTATCTTCTGGTGTCTGGACCATGGCTTCCTGGACGTGAAATTTGAAGGAGACGCCAAAGTCGTCATCGAGAAGATCAATCGAGCGGATACCAGAGATAGTAGAGTTGAGGTTATTCTTGAAGAAATTGTGCAGTGTTTTGCTACTCACTCTGGGTTTAGTTTACGATTTGTAGGTCGGAATAGCAATAGGGTAGCCCATGCGGTGGCTAGAAAGGCCGTTACTTTGTAGCCGTCTACGAGTCGATCTTTTGATTTTCAGGCCTAGCTTAATTCCAGGATGTAACTTTCTATATATTTTAAATCAATATATGATTATCTTTTGTATAAAAAAATACGTGAAAGGGAAAATACTTCTCCCTCTTTTTTATTTGTTGAATTTTTCATACACTCATTTAAGAAGAAAGGCTTGGGCAAAACATATCAATCCGACGATGGTGTTCATTTTCCATCGGTGAGAATCATTTCACAGGCGCTCGAGATTGTTTGTATAGTGTGAGGGCGCTTCCTGTTCAATGGAGTGTCAACTATTGGGAAAATTGTTACTACATTCGTTTGTTAGGAGTTCATTGATCCCAATAACTCGAGTTGGGATATATTCAAGTATGAATTATATATCATCTACTAATACACCCCTCAAATGAAAGCCCTCATATAGGTTTGAAGTTTGCATAGGCCCAGATACCATGTGCTTAACAGAATGGATGATGATCACTAGGATTTGAACAGAAGACCATTTTGTCACAGAAAAGCTCTGATATCATGTAATGAACCAGTTGGTTGCAATAACTCGAGTTATTGAAAAAAGTTTGCTAATTGATCATATACCATTTACTACCACCATCCCAACATTCAAAGACTCTGCACCATAACAAAATTGAAAATATATGATTACATGTGTTCTATGTGCCAACCTAACATGATGGGCAATGAAGGACCCTTGTGAGAGGGGGAAGAAAGAGGAAAGAGGCCAAGACAGGCATACACAATAGTTGACAATACAAAGAAAACTTTAGAATTTGTGTCACTTATGTCATCATGATGGTTACTTGCATAGTAAGGCTATATGGTGTAATTCATCGTCAATGATGAGTTTTACAGAGGGAGGGGGCAACATCTGGCTCTTGCCTGCTATAGTGCCATCAAAGCATCTCAATCCATTCATATTTTATCATTAAAAAAACTCCACTTAAATGGTAGAAACTTGTTTTCCTAAATAGAAAAAACTTAAAAAACTATACGTCAGTGAATTCATCATGTTAGGAGAACCGGTCTAAGAACACTGACGTTTGCCTAATTTGTAGGATGGTTTTCTAAAGGATATTGGATATGAAAAAATTAATCAGAATTGGATACGAGATCCTAAGGCTAATTCCAATGGACTCTCTATAAATGGGGGAACTTCTATATTTAGGGGAAAGTTGGCTCTAATGGAGCCTCTATAAATGGAGGAGTCTCTATATTTGGGGAGATCTCCAAAAGGATCCCCAAATTTGGGGTGGAAATGGGGGTTCCCAAAATATAGAGACTCCCCAAAGCCCGCCACATGACGTTTCTTTTTCTTTTTAAGATTTTAAGGGTTAATTGGGGTTTAATTAGGGATTAGTTAGGGGGTTTAGTTAGATCAATAATTTTCAGGTGTTGTGTGTAAACCCAAATTAGGTCAATCATTTTTTGTCAACAAAAATTTGCTCTCAAAATTAAAAAAAATTCTACCGGATAATTTATATTTAAAAATGATGACGAACTATACAAAAATTAACATGAACAAATTATATTAAGGCTTCGATAAGTATATTTTTAAGTAAATGGAAAACTTAAAAAATGGAGATCTCCAAATATAGAGGATGTAGCATTGGAGCAAAAGAAGGGAAAATGGGGATGAACCCCAAATTTGGGGGCTTGCATTGGAGTTGGTCTAACAAACAATAAATGGATATTGAGTCAAGTTCTAAATGTCTAATATTGGATGATGAGAACAAACTCGTACCGAGCACTGATAGTCCACATAGCATCCGGATCTAGTTTCAAAGTGCAGACGGTCTCGTTTCAGTTGTTAAAGAAACCCACCATAACTGATAAGCATACGTGACCGTCGCGGTTTCCTCCACCTCACAACACCAATGATAACCCGCGAACCAGCTCATGCAAATCATATTGGACGCCTTAGAGCATGGGTCAAGTGATTTAGAAAATGTGGAATGTGATTTAGAAAATGTGGAAGTGAAATAATGTTGAATAGCATGTTCCATCTCAACCCTAATGGAAAAACTTGCTCAAAATCAAACAACGGTTTTGGTTGTTTATTGGTGATGATCACTAACCCTGATGCATTGCTAACCAAACATATTCGTTTATATAAAAAAGTTGGATCCAAAAGAGAAGAGAAAAGCTAAAGCTCTCCGCCCCAACAAATTTACATATAGAAACCAACACAGTCAGTACTTATTAAAAGAAGTGATTAGCGATTAATGCAATAGTTAATTATATTAGAAAATAAATACATGGAAATCGGGAAGCAACAATGCCGTCGGCAAACAGAAGTCAAAGTCAAACGACGAGCCTCCGACTCCGAGCTAACCAGCCAGGCAGCTACACCGCTCGAGCCTTTCGATATGTTTTTTTCCTTCTTGAACTCATAATTGTGATTAACAAAAACAAAAAACCCACCACACTAATAAACTAATTAAGAACCTGACACAAACGTTACGGCATCTCCGCCTTCTCTCCCTCTCTCTCTCTAATCTAATCTTCTTTGCCTTTCCTCCTCGGTTCCGGTCTCCAAAATGGCGTGTTATAATACTACTACAACACCCACACCTTTCACAATTCCTCCTCATAAGGATCCAACCAGAAAGAAAACAACAAAACACAAAAGCAAGCTCTCTCCACACCAACGTCATTAATTATTAACAACCGAGTAGCCGGAAGGAGCAGAGCAGCGGCCACCGTTTACTACTTGGAAAGGTGTTTGTGGGTTTGGGGTTTTCCTCATTTCCCAAAATTAGCAGCGTTACTTTCTCAATAGACCGCTCAGGGCTTAGAATCGCCCTCACTTTTGGGTTGTGGCCGCCAGCTGATTCGCCCCTCTTTTTCTTTGGTTCTATCTCCTCTGTTTTTTGTTTGGCTTTTTAGTATTTGTCTGCGGAGGAATTTTAGCGGTGTGTGGCTGATCTTTACGAGAAGGGTTACAAGGAGGAAGAATAATGTTTCGATGGGAGTTGGGTTTCAAGTGACTGCCGTAGTTTTGGATTAATTATATAGGAAAGTAGTTGCTTCTTGTCTCGCCTCGTCTGTTGCTGGTGGGAAACAAGCCTGGAGTAGCATTTGCAATGGCGGAATATATCTATTTGCTCAGCAAGGTGACACCATTTTCCTTTTTTTTTCTGGGTTTCTGTTCTTTTGTGGTAAAGCGACTGGACTTCAGTTCAAATGCTACTGATTTTTTGCTTGGAGGGAAGATTGGGAAATTTCTTTCCTTTTTTGTGCTGGGCTTCTGGGTTTTGCTCGTTTTGTGTGTTAGAGATTCATGATTTGAGGGTATGATTTATGGGCGGGTTCACTGAAGATTCATCTCATTGCATGGCTCGATCTGGGTTTCCAAGACCTGGCTGGGGTTTAAGAACTTTCTGCAATTTTGCCTGACTGCATTTCTACGCTTGAGTTGAGCTGGAAACCCACTTCGCTTTTCAGTTTTCAATCCTCATACATTGACCCACACCAGTGTTTCTATTTTCTTCTCTTGATTGATGCTGAAAGCTTTGTGCTTTCAAGTTTCGGTTCTGTTTGCTGAGCTCAGATTTCACGGACAGATTTGAATGTGAAGCTTTCTGTCACTGACGTAGATAGATTGGTTTCTTCCTTCTCACAGGACGCAGTAATCATTAAACCTCCCAAGAAGTCTTCTATGTTATTGAGGATGGTGGTTCTAATGTTTGCCATGACGTTTGGTGTCTACATCTGCACCATTTGCCGGCAGCAGATTAGCAGCCTTAGCAAAGTAACGATTAAAAATATACAAGTGATTGATGAGCCATCTAATACTGCTGACCATAGTGTCTTTCATGTGCCTAAGCTGCATTACCCAAACCCTGAAAGTTTCAGCAGGTAATAATATATTGGATATTTGCATTTGATCTTGGTTTGCTTTGGTTTTGTTGATATCAGCTTTCTGAGCATTGTTTTGTTTAATTTTCAGGGAGGAATGTGTGGATAACCCTGTACGTTACTTTGCCATTGTATCGACTCAAAGGTCAGGGAGTGGATGGTTTGAGACATTGTTGAATAGTCATGTTAACGTGAGCTCGAATGGGGAGATCTTTTCGGTTTTGGATAGGAGAAGAAACTTCTCAGCTATTGTTGAAACTCTGGATAGGGTCTATAATTTGGACTGGTTCTCTAGTGCTTCCAAGAATGAATGCTCTGCTGCTGTTGGATTCAAGTGGATGCTGAATCAGGTAACTCAAAAAGTGTTGAACATGGAAGTTCAGTTAAATTTTCATGGTTAGGTGCTATAATGTTCTAGTCTCTCAAGTCTATACTGTAGTAAAAGTGAGCCAGTTGCATTCATACTATGTTTGTCAAAATGAGGCAGTTTAGCTTCGTGGAGCAGTTGAAATTCTATAATCGAGTATCTTTGCATAGGACCAAAAATTGCGACTGCTCAATTTCTGCAATACAGATCTATAATTGATCTGTACTGTATCGTACTTCCTGTGTGGTTTTGATGCTCTATTAATCAGGTGATATGAGCATATATGGACTGTTTGCACCATGCAGAAGTTTCCTTTTCCAGTCCAATTCTATAATGCTGGTTGCACAACAATGCACTTAGGTCTATTTTCCGTGGGTCTGATTGGAAATACTATTTTTCTTGTCTCCTATCTGGTATACAAGGGTACATTCATAGGATGATCTTACTACTTTCATGAATCATTCTATGTGTAGCTTGCCGGAAAAGACCAATCTTTCCTTTATTAACCATCACCAGAGAATTGAAAATGGAACCCTTCTGACCAGTTCTGTGCTTGGTCAAGGGAATTTTTAATCCATTGTATGGTTTCCAGAACAGAACTTTCTACATTATGCTTTTGTCTACTGCTTTACTAGCTTTTATCCTTGGTTAAACGGGTGAAAAAAGAAGACGAATATAAATAATAAAATTGTATCATATTGGTATAATATTGGGCAAGAGAGGGTTTTGTTCCTGCCCAACAATGTACTTATTTCTCACCTTCTTTCTGCAGGGAGTGATGGAGCACCATGAAGAAATAGTGGAGTACCTCAACCGCAGAGGTGTTTCTCTGATTTTTCTCTTCCGTAGAAACCTACTTCGACGAATGGTTTCACTGCTTGCAAATTCCTATGACAAGTATGCCAAGTTATTGAATGGAACTCACAAATCTCATGTCCATACCACTGAAGAGGTTCCTCTTCCAGTCCCCCATAAACTCTCTTTCTCCTTTTTTGCATCTGATTTACACCATTTTTATGCTGATGGTCATGTCATGAACCAGTTGATCCCAATAACTCGAGTTGTTGGGAGAAGGTTACGCTGGATCTTATACCACTCTCTAACACGCCCCCTCAAACGAAAGCCAACCCACGGGCTTGAAGTTTGCACAGGCCCACCATACCATGTGCTTGAAAGACAACATTTAATATTGGGGGTCGTGGAGATTCGAACACATGACCTTTTGGTTCTAGGCTCTGATACCATGTCATGAACCAGTTGATCCCAATAACTCGAGTTGTTGGGAGAAGGTTACGCTGGATCTTATACCACTCTCTAACAGGTCAGCCACTGTTTTGTTGCAGGCTGAAACGCTTTCCCAGTTTAAGCCCATAGTTAACTCCACATTGCTGATATCTGATTTGAGACGGGCAGAGATCTTGGTTGCCAAGGCTCTAGAGTACTACAACACCACTCGGCACATGGTTGTGTACTACGAGGATCTTGTTAAAGACAGCAAGGTTAGTTGAAACATGAAACATTTTCTTGAGAACCATGGATAGCTCCTGGTCAGAACATAGACCTGAACCAATGATAGAAGTTCTTTTAGTGCGAGAACAAGACACCAAGTACTCTTAGGATGAGAAAAGAACACGAGTCTTCTCTTAGGCTGAGAAAAGTCGACCGGTTTTCTGTTTTTTGCTCAGAGTTGAAAGTATGGATCTTTCTAACACATCGAGTTTGACATCGTTGTATGGCTCTTCATTGGTGCTGCAGAAACTTGAGGAGGTGCAGGAGTTTCTGAGGCTTCCGGTGATGGAACTGAGAAGCCGGCAGGTAAAGATCCACAAGGGGCCATTATCAGAACTGATCAAGAACTGGGAAGATGTGAACAAGACGTTGTATGGAACGGAGTACGAGAATTACCTGAGGGTCGACTATTGAGTCTGCGGAAGGGACTGATTTCGGAATGGTTTGCTAACTTGCAGGAAGTGTGAATACCAACTACTCAACTGACATGTCGTCCACTCTCTCCTTATATGTGCATTTCATGAGTTGACAGGCTAATGGCTCTTCTCAAAATTTTGACTGGCATGGGCGAAACTGCGCCATAACTGGTTCTTCTTTTGTTTTGTTAATGGCTTTCTCAACTTTGCGTTGAGATTTGATTCCCATAGCTGAAACCTGTGTTGTTTGATCACCTTCTGGTTGATCATGCAGAGATCAAAGTTGTACATGTAGCCTACTCGCTTGCAGGAAAAAAATTATAATATATGAGCAATTCATTCAGTTTCTAAGTGTGTATCTCCCTGGTTAATCTATAAAAAAAAGTGTGTATCTCCCTCTGTTTCAGTATTTGTTTACTATTTTCATATTTGAAAGCGAAAGTTGTCATATGTTGTTGTGGTAAAAGGAGTTAGCAACACAACAAAAACAATGAAAGTTAGCTACTTATTAAGTAGCTTACTTATTGATTTGATGTTTCTCGTGGAATTTGTTTGTAACAATTTCATTTAAAAGAGTCTAATTTCACTCAAAACTCAAAAGAGTCTATAACCAAAACTTGTTAGACTAACTTTCTATATGTTTTTTCATCTCGATTTTCGCATAACTCATCCCAAAAATCTCATTATCAATAATATTTTCATATATTTTCCACTTAATTTTCTCATAACTCGTCATACCAACACTATTCCTCTCATTACTTTCCTAATTTTATCTTAGTCTCAAGATTGATACTAAATGGAACCTAACAAAGTAATTAAACACAAAAAATTGTCAACTTCCATGATTTTTTTCCAGAATTATCAACTAAACTTTTGTTGTCACAACAGTATGGCAACCACCACAAGACCTTTTGGTTTTTGTTCACTTTCAATGGGTTTTGTCACGACCTTACTCTCGATCGTGCGGCCCTAGCTCTCAAATCCGTTAGAGCGCTAGGCAGCCTTTCTCTCAACTCACTTGAAAGCAAAGAACAAGAACAAAGACAAAGGAAGTGGGAGAACTCTCTAGTGTGTATTACTCTAAAAAATGATGGAATGAGTTACAAGTGAGGGAGATGGCTCCTTATATAGGCCTCTCCTCATACAAGGCATCAATGCCCCTCATAATGTCTCTCTACTACATCAATACACCCCATAAAGTCCCCCCATAATGCACTCTATTAATACTACCATAATGTAGCCCATAAGTGCACCATTAAGCTCTCATTTAGGTGGAGAATCCTAGGAGCATCTCTATGCTACTAGTCTTCCATACATGCCACATGTGCAGCCGCCTTGTTGTCACCTTGTTGGTTCCATGTCATCTGCCACATGTGACATCCTCCCCCACCTATGCTCGCGACGCCCTCGTCGCATCCTCTTGATGGAATGCCTCGATCAAGTCCTTGTTCTTCCAAAGTGTGAGCTCTTTCTCCCAAGTTGCTTCACTTTCCGGAAGGTTGCGCCACTTGACCAAGTACTCCACAAAGCTTGGATGTACGCCACGACGAGGAATGACACGATGCGCCATGACTTCTTCAACTTCATGGTCGTGTGTCTTGGTGATGAGTGTTGGAGCGCGCTCCGACTCTCTTCGTTGCTCATCATCCTTGTCTTCGTGGAAAGGCTTGAGTTGGCTCACATGAAAGACTGGATGGATCTCCAAGTGCGTCGGCAACTCAACCTTGTACGCCACCTTGCCAATCCTCTTCTCGATGGGGAATGGCCCTTCATAGCGGCGAAGCAGTCCCTTGTGCACGTTCTTGAGATGCTTGAAGCGATGAGGGTAGAACTTGATCATCACCATGTCTCCCTCTTCGAATTCCAAGTGCCGCCTCTTCTTGTCCGCCCATTTCTTCATCTTCTTACTAGCGCGGGCTAAGTAAGACTTGGCCATCTCCATCTTCTCGTGCCAGCCTTTAGCGAACTTGTAAGTTGCCGGACTGTTGCCTCTATATCCCGTTGCCACCGTCGTAGGTGTCAAAGGTTGCTGCCCCGTCGCCAACTCAAATGGACTCGTGTTGGTCGACTCGCTGCGGTGCAAGTTGTAGGAGAATTGTGCTGTGTCCATCAGCTTCACCCAATCTCGTTGGTTTGCACTCACGTAGTGTCGCAAGTACACTTCCAACAAAGCATTCACCCGCTCCGTCTGTCCGTCGCTTTGAGGATGAAATGCCGTCGAGAAGTTCAAGTCTGAGCCCATGATCTTGAACAACTCTCACCAAAATCTGCCCGTGAAGCGCCCATCTCTGTCGCTCACGATGTTGCTAGGAACGCCCCAATACTTGACCACGTTCTTGAAGAATAGTCGCGCCGCATCCTCTGCCGTCACGTCTTTTGGCCGGGGATGAACACTCCATACTTCGAGAATCTGTCCACCACAACCATGATGCAACCGCATCCATCGACTTTGGGAAGTCCGATGATGAAGTCCATGCTTACACTCTCCCATGGTCGTTGAGGTGTGGGCAAGGGCTCTAGCAAGCCTGCCGGGCTTCTCTGCTCCATCTTGTCTTGTTGGCACACAAGACAAGTCTTCACATACATCTCCACGTCGTCTCTCATACGCGGCCAGAAATATGCTTCTTCGATGAGCGCTTGCGTTCTCTCGATGCCGGGATGGCCTGCCCACTTGGAATCATGGCACTCCTTCATGATCTCCTTCCTCAAGTTGGCCCATCTTGGCACGAACACTCGCTCTCCCTTGGTCATGATGAGCCCATCCTTCACCCAAAACCGTCGAGTCTTGCCTTGCTCGATGTACTCCGCTACGGTTTTGGCGAAGGGGTCATGGCCAAGGCCTTCAACGATCCGCTCCTTCAAAGGAAACATGGGCTGGCTGATGCTTGCGGCTGCACTCTTGCGGCTAAGAGCATCGGCAACGGAATTCGCCTTGCCTGGGTTGTACTCCATGACGAAGTCGAACTCGGCCAAAAAGTCTTGCCACCTCGCTTGCTTGGGGGTGAGCTTCTTCTGCGTCAGAAAGTAGCTCGTCGCCACGTTGTCCGTCTTCACTACGAACTTTGACCCCAACAAGTAGTGCATCCATGTGCGGAAGCAATGCACCACGACCGTCATCTCCTTCTCTTGAACGGTGTATCGCCTCTCCGTCTCGCTAAACTTCCGACTCTCGAAGGCAATGGGATGCCCATCTTGCATCAACACGCCTCCAATCGCGAAGTCGGATGCATCGGTCTGCACTTCGTAGGCCAACGTCGGGTTGGGGAGCACGAGCACGGGCTCCTTCACCACTGCTGCTTTCAAGGCCTCGAATGCTTCTTGGCACTTTTCCGACCAATCTCACGCCTTGTTCTTCTTCAAGAGATCCGTCAAGGGTGCTGCAATGTTGGAGTAGCCCTTGATAAACCTCCGATAGTAGTTGGCAAGGCCAAGGAATGACCGCAACTCTGGCACCTTCGTCGGCGGCTCCCATTCTTGGATTGCCTGCACCTTTGCTCCATCCATCTTCAACTTGCCTCCACCAATGATGTGCCCCAAGAATGGAACCTCCGTGGCGGCAAATGTGCACTTCTCCCTCTTGACGTACAACTCGTTGTCACGAAGGACTTGGAAGACTTGGCGTAGATGCTCGGCATGCTCATCGAGTGTTTTGCTATACACGACGATGTCATCCAAGTAGACCACGACAAACCGGTCCAAGAATGGCTCGAACACTTGATTCATCAAAGTGCAAAACGTGGCTGGTGCGTTGGTGAGACCGAATGGCATCACAAGAAACTCGTAAGAGCCATACCTCGTCACACAAGCTGTCTTTGGCTCGTCGCCCTCTGCTATCCGCACTTGATAGTAGCCCGAGCGAAGATCAAGCTTGGTGAACCACATCGCATCTCCAAGCTGATCGAACAGATCGCCAATGTTGGGAATCGGCCACTTGTTCTTCACCGTCAACTTGTTGATGGCTCGATAGTCGATGCACATGCGCAACGACCCTTCCTTCTTCTTTTGGAACAGCACCGGTGCTCCAAAAGGTGACTTCGATGGCCGCATGTAGCCTGCGTCCACCAAGTCCTTGAGCTGCCTCCGCAACTCCTCTAACTCCGGTGGCGACATGCGGTATGGTGCTCGCGAAGGGGGCTTCGCTCCTGGCTCCAACTCGATCTTGTGGTCCACCTCTCTTCTTGGTGGCAGCTTCTTGGGCAACTCCGATGGCATCACGTCGTCGAACTCTTCGAGGACACCTTCGATGAGGGGAGTTGTGATTCCCGCTGAGCCTCCTTCTTCCTCCGTTTTCAAGGACACAAGAAAGGTTGGTTCATTCTTCTTGAACCCCTTCAATACCTGCATGGCCGATAGAGCACTATGGGGGTCATCTTCTCTCAAGAGATGGACCGTATGGAACTCCCCCTCCTTCTCCAAGCACATCGTGTTGGAGTTGGGCTTCAAGAGCACTCCCTCATTGTCGAGGAAGTTGATGCCGAGGATGACTGGGTGATCGTCCATGGTGACGACGGAAAAGTCGATGAGGCCTTCCCACTCGCCAAGCTTCACTGGCACGTTGTGAGCAACTCCATGGATTGGGATGGACTCCGAATTGATCGTCTTGAGCCTCCATTGCCCCTTCTCGTAAGCAATACCCAGCCGGTTTGCCTCCTCGATGCGAAGGAAGTTGTCCGTGGCACCGGTATCCACCAAGGCTTTTGACTCACCTTGCATGAATTGCGCCAGAACATAGCACCTCCCACGCTTGCTCTCCTTGACGTCGGTCTTCACCACGCCAAGCTTGCGGATTGAGCCAATCTTGGCCTCCGCCGCCTTGGGCTCCTCCTCTTGAGCTTCCATGGCCGCAATCTCGCCTTCCTTGGGCAATCCCGCACTCGATGTGGTCCGTCGCAAAGGAAGCAAGACATGGGTTTTGGCTCGTACTTACCCCCTTTGCTCGAGCCACCTTGGTGTTGTTGAGCGCGAGTGCCCTCCTTGAAAGGCTTCTGCTGCTCTCCACCCTTGTTGGGCTTCGAACTCTTCTCTTTGCCGCTGCTCTCTTGCCTTTTGTACTCGACAAAAGACTCCGACGTGGCCATGGCAGTTGCAAGGTCTTGCACTCCTCGACGTTGCATCTCCATCTTGGCCCATGGTTGCAGCCCATCAAGAAAGCCGTGCATGGCCTCCTTGTCCGTGATGTCCGGGATCTCTAGAAGCAGCTCCAAGAATTCTTTCACATATTCTCGAACTCCACCCCTCTGGGTGAGTCTTCTCAACTTTGAACGGGCTTCAAACTCCACGTTCTCCGGGTAGAACTGCCTCTTGATTTCTCTCTTGAAATCTTCCCACGTTACCATCACACAAGTACCTCTTTCGACGTCCGCTTCACGTCGCCTCCACCACACCATGGCAACATCAACCAAGTAGAGTGGAGCGGTACGGAGTTTTACCTCATCCTCTTGGATGCCGGACGCCTTGAAGTA